CCTTCCGTACTGGAAAGAGAAAGGTGAGTACCTCCAGAGAAGGGAGATCTGTCCCAGTTAACTGTGACGCTCTGGAGTCACTGGAGAGCCTACCTACTTAGGTTAGATTAGGAAGGCAACTTTAAAGGACCAAAATTTGGCAAGATGAAGCCCTTTCTACCCTAACTGGTATTTCACCCCATCCAGCACAGAAGCAGCAGAGGAAGGGTGGTGGATGTTTGCTAGGATACACCAGATCCTCCAGCTAAACTCTGTGTGCTGCATCGCTGCTACTGGATTCAATTGCTGTTGCCATATTTCATTTTCATTTGAGTCACTACAGACAACTGCTCAGAAATTCAGAAAAGCTGGCTCTGACACTCAGCTGTCACATCAGACACTGTGAAAGCTGGTGGCCCACACTTCTGTAGAATGAAGGAAGCAGCGTGTCATAGCTCGGCTGAGTAACATCCAAAAATCTCTTTGATTTTAGCTAAGCAAATAATACAGCCAAGTTTTCCTCCCCAGAACTTTGTTCCTGCAGACATCTGATTTTCAGATATCCCTAACAAAGAATAGAAGGGAAAAAAAAATGTAAATACTTATATAACAGCTTCTGCCTGGGCAGAGAAAATTATAGTCTCTGAGTCTGATATTTTAAAAAGGAGTGAGGCCCTTGACTGAAGGACTTCTGAAAAGTTACGTCTATTTTTAAGCATTTTAAGGACAAATGCTTGGAAGATGAGAAGTGTTCCAGCTGGGATTCCTAGGGGGAGGAAAGGAAGGTTTCTTACACAAGTTTGACTCCACAAATATTCACCTGTGATGCATGTCCTTTTGGGATAAGGTTCAAGTACAAAACTGGGCTCAAGCATAGAGTTCTCAACTCAAAAGGTATGGAGCAAGTATGGAGTCATGTGCTTCATTAAGAACTGCTACCAAACAAAAGCTTTTGTTTTTCTCAAAACAGACAAGCAATCACACCCTCTGGAAGATGCTAACAGGAAGGTTGCAAGATCAAGCACTTAAAGGTTGGAAAAACAACCTAGATAACTTTCACTGCCTTCATTCATGGAAGGAAAATTTTACTGTAGGCTACTATAGCTGCTCAGGTATATGTGCGTTCAGTTATTTGCTTCTCCCTGAATGATGTTAGGCCTGATAAAATGATAGGTGAAAGTGTTAATATCCTGCTATTTTCTTCCACACTCTTACAAATCCATGTCAGAAATTGTGACTACCTCTGTTGGCTGATTCATTCATTTCACAGTCCTCTAATATATGCGATTGGGTGCTTTTAAAAAAAGGTTTGGTGGGTTTTTTTTTTGGGGGGGGTTGTGGTTTTTTTTCCTCAAAGTGCCCAAAGTAAATAAAAGCACAACTCAACTCATCAACATTTAGAAAAGAAAGGAAACTTCCTATTAAAATACTGTTTTCCAAGTAAAACAAAAGGAAAACAATGCAATTATCTTACCAAAGTTTATCACTATTGTAATACAAATAGATATTTTATTCATGTTTTCTGCAGAAATAAGGCTAAGTTAAAGAGTTCTCTCGATCCTCCAAGACATTAGGTCCTTAAGCCAAGCCTGTTAGTGTATGCAGGTTTCACTTCGCACACTCTCAGCCCTGACACACTCCATTTGTGTGGACATGATAGGACAAGGGGTAATGGGTAATGGTTTTAAAATAGAGGGAGGTAGATTCAGATTGGATATTAGGAAAAAATTTTTTACCATGAGAGTTGTAGAACACTGGAACAGGTTGCCCAGAGAGGTGGTGGATGCTCCATCCCTGGAGACATTCAAGGCCAGGTTGGACGAGGCCCTGAGCAACCTGATCTAGTTGGAGATATCCCTGTTTGTTGCAGGGGCGTTGGACTAGATGACCTTTGAAGGTCCCTTCCAGCCCTAATCATTCTATGATTCTATGACTGGAGTCAGTTTTGATACAAGCCATATAGAGTTTATGTACGGAGGTAACATTCAGTGCTGTCATTTTTCCATATAACTAAATGTCAGCAAGAAACAGAATCCAAAATTGGTCTGTAACCATGGCAACTAATGAGCCATTCTAACTTGGAGTCCCCAAACCAAACATGTGACCATCAAGGGATTCATTCCAGTTTTAAGACACTGCTTTTCAGAGAAGAAAATATGCTGCTGCTTTTGCTGACATGCGCATTAGAGGCATCAGTCTACAGCCAGGCAAGGGAGCTAGAGCAGGTTCAGACAAACAACTAGGAGAAATGCAGCTCCTTTCTTCCACTGGAAGGAAAAAACAGCCAACACATTCTATTGATGCTAATCATGTTGGATAAAGATAAAATCTTGCAAAAAGAACAAAATATCTGAGACGACAACAGCGTTTGTAATCATAGCACTGGGGAACAAAGCGTAAGCTCTGTGACAAAAAGTAATGAGTGCCTTGATTTTTGTTTTTCAATTTCAACTTCATTAAGCATTTGGGATCACACAACTCAAAAGTCAAAACCATATCTGCACATGCATCTAAAAATAAATGTGGGGCCAGCTCCTTAATTCTGGTAAGGGAAAGGTCATTTCATTTCCCATGGCCACATCTTCATTCTCAGAAGCTGTTCTGAAAGGGTTGTCAGGAAACTCTCTGAAACATATCTTGAAAGTCTACAGCTAAAAAAGTCTCCATCTCTTTACTGGGGAACGACGAATTTATTCCCCTTCATATCTGTGCCTGGAAACTACCAGGTGACTCTTTGTAGGGCCATGCCAGCCAAGTGAAGGAAAGTCCTCTAGAAGTAGCTGAAGTCTGTATGCCTGAAGGAGGGCTCTGCAGAAAAGGTGTTTCACGCACAGGTTCCTTCAAAGCCAGAATAGTCAGATGGAAACAGCCCATCTAGTTCATATTTTGCATATATGCTACACTATTACTTTTTAAACAGGCAAACCCAGCTTTTCTAGTCTACCACAGAAGCTCAAGATCTGGCTGCCAGCATATGGTAGGAACAAACAAGCAACCATACTATGAATGGACTATACACTAAAAATTTTTCCTTGCAATCATTTAGCTCCTTTGCTGCTCCTAACAAGGAGGACCTTGACTATATTAAATAAATTCTTCAGGCTTTTTTTTTTTTTTTCAGAAGACAGAAAAGAGAAGATAAAATAACCACATAAATAAAGCAGTTATTAGTTTTCCACGTAATTTGAAAAGTGCCTAGTTATTGTTATCAAATAAAGTTGAAGCTAGAATTAAAATGAAATTAAGGTTTAAAATAAAGGATCATTATTCCCTTATACTACATTGAAAGGTTTCTTTAAGTAGTACTTGTATCTTGTAGAAAGGTACTACAGTCCAAATCAGAAGAGAGTATGTTAGGTGTTAGTCCATTTTTTAACAAAGAAACTGGAAGGTCTTACCAATTTTCTTTGAAGATTTAAAACCTAACAAAACAAAAAAATACCTCCACTAAATTATTTTATCCACATTTGCAAACATCACCCGACACTGTTTTTGAATATTGACTTTCCTGGGTACGGAAGAAAAAAAATCAGTATAAATAACAGCTTTTAACACTGGAAACCATAAACGTTTTTGTCTTGTAAAATGAGCAACATGTGAAAAGATAATTATGACCCTTGAAACTTAGAACAAAGAAATATTGTTATGCTGTCTATGAAAAAAAGAGCTCTTTGAGAAAGACCAGTCAGAATACTTATTATTACAAGTCTGGAGTAATCAGTAAAGTCACAGGTCTGTCAGAGGAAGGCAGTACAGGTGACAAACACATAACAAAAGAAAATTAACAATTTCACTTCTCTGTATGAATTTGCAAATGTGTATAAATCTCAGTGAAGCTGATGTAAAAACAGAGTACTACAGCTCTATCAATCATACGGTTCCCACAAGATGCAATGTTCTATGGTACATGAATGGAAAGAACAGAGGACACTTCAAAAGCGCAGTATGATTTTGCTGTACAGAGCAGAGGCCACATCTGGCGCTTTACATCTGTCTCCATATTGCGCTGTATTCCTGCTAAAGCAGCAAAGCCTTTGCGTGACACATTAGTATTGGGCATAACAATCATCACGAGATGGTATTATGCCATACCAGGGTTGTCATCAGAACGCTCCAAAGGTTACTCAGGTGATTTACTGGAGAAAGAAGGAGAGATCTACACTAAGTTCTTCCATCCACACTTACATTGTTAGCAAAGAAGAATTACAGACTTGTGTCCATGACAGAATCTGGCCAGACCACTTCAGTTTAATTCCCTCCCTTTAGAGGGAAGTGATCAAATGGTTCAGCCACAGTGTTTTCTGTTTGTATGGAAAATACAGCTATGGAAGCAAAGCTATAACTCAGGAGAAATAAGCAGAGAGACAGATAAAAGAAAAGCAAGGGGAAAAGGGGATTGAATTTTACTCTCATCTCATGTTTCTGACACATCTCAAGTCACAAGGTCACCACCATCAACGGAGGGCTTGTAAAAAACATCCAGCGTGACATCCCAGGTGCATCAGGAGAAGCTTCCAATAAGTGTTAATAACAAAAAAGGTATGACAAGAGTGATAAGAGATGGAAAATTAAACCCCTGGATGTCTCACACTTTCTCAAATTATTTTTTACCAAATTAATTCATCTTCATCAGATCTGAGCCAGCTATGCAACAGCAGTAATGGAAATTAATATCTTAGGGCTCTACACAGGAAAAAAAAAAAGCTGTAAACCCTGCCCACCTACTGAGCAGCATCATGTCCTCATTAGTTTCCTGGTATTTAAAGAAAAAGAAAAAAGGGAAAGAAAGAAAACTTGCAAAGATTCCCCACAAAAAGTAAACACCGTGCTGTTTCATGGGAGGTTGAGAAATGGTTATAGTAGTAAAGGGGAAAAAAAAATTAAAACCAAAACCAGCTAGAAACAGCAAACACCTAAGGACTGCTGAAGATACAGGAAGATGGTTTCAACATAGCCAGTGTCTGCGTGGGTACAGTTACAGGGGCGACTGCAAACAGCTTTTGTCAAGAAACACTTCTCACCATTTCTTTTCCTTCCTTCCTCTTTTGTCACTTTTTGCGGAGCCATTACTTTCTGGAGGGAGCTGCGGCCGGAGCTGGGCTTTCCCGACCCGTTGCTGATGATGGAGCCGTTCTGACTCGGGGACCGGCTGCAAGTAACCATAGCAACAAGGGAGGCTGTGAGATCTTCCTTCTGAACCTCATTTCAAGGTTATTTCATTCGCACAGTTTGCATCACTGAGTTTCCAAGTCTGGTTTTTGTACCAAAAGAAGATTGAATACAAACTGCACACAGAAACACAGTAAAGGCAGGAACCGAGCGACCGTAGGAGAACACAACTTCTCAATTAGCTCAGGGCTGATAGGCATCTCAGTGGCATCGAAAGCAAACACTTCTTATGCACAACCCCCACAATGACAGAAGCGGCACTGCAGAGGACAAAAAAAAATCCTGTTTTCAATTCAGAGTCATTTATACAGCTAAAATAAAGCAGCCCTTTGTTTTTATACATATGGCTCAACTAATTCCTTTATTATTTAGCCTGCGTTTACACTCAACTGTTTTGTCAGCCACTATGCAAAATTCACTCACTTTACATGTATGCACCCACAACATGATAAGAAAATGCTCCTTTTTTTCCTTTTTGCACATAACTTGGTTTAACCAGCACCGTTACTTGCTGAAACTCCTACGAAAATGATTGTTTTACTCAGCCATTGCATATTCTTGCCCTGACACTGGTCCCTGCCCAGGGGGAGGGCAGAGCAGAACTGTTGTAAGCGTCCAATCACAACGAGGAGCAAGAACAGAAACAAGCAGCATTAACTGTGGGCTGCACCGGGAGCAAGCTCTCAGCAGAAGTTCTCTTCTTTTTGGAATGGGTACGTTACCCAACGCAAAAGTCAGTAAAAGCAGGCCAAAGTAGAAAACATTAAATCTGGTGCTACTCCACATCCAGACACCATGTCACATTGTTTCTATACATGAAACTTGCCACAACGGGAATGAAAAGAATCCACAGGACCTGTATAGTTACTCATGTGCCTATCTACAATCCATCGCTGAATCGTCATGGCCAAAGGCAGTATAATGTAAAGAGGTTGCGTTGGAGGGAAAAAAATGGACTTTGTCACAAGGATTTTCATTTACAGAGAAAGAAAAAAAATCAAATTTTATCATTGTCACAATGGCTTTATATCCAGAAAACGGTACTGAACCAAACAACTGTAAAAACCATCTTGTAAATTATTGCCAATACTTCATTGCCAGCTTGAAACATTCATTTACCTCCAGTTCTGACAGCCCTGTCCGGTGTGAGCAGAGAGCATTTACTGTCATCAAAACAGGAAGGGATAAGTATGAGAAAAGTAATTCTTAGGAACTCTTTTGAAGATAGCCTAAGTGGAAACATATATAATTTGAGACAGGCTTTTTCCAGATACAGGGGTCTAGAAGAACTCAGCATGCAACCCAGCTCAGCTCAGCCCAGCCTGGAGATCATCTTGTGAAACTCTATTGAGAATAAATATTCTTGAAAAGTAACATTTCTCCCTTACAAACCTGTCTGTCACTGCTAATGAATAATCTCAACCCAGTAAAAAAAGTTATCCAGGGACAGACCAACACCTGAAGAAAATTTGCTCCACTTGGGAGCCAGGAAAAGAAGCACGCATGGATACCTTGCACAATGATTTTTGCTGCCACTAATCTAAATATTCATCTTTTTTAAATGGCCGTTGTATTATTAACTGTGAAGTTTTCTTCAGTGGTAATATCAGAGAATATATTCTGAACAGTTATCAGCCACTTCATGGCAGTCTGATTTAAATTGACCTTTCCAGACTGCAAAGTAGCCTGGATGAAAGAGAAAATTCATAAAGGTTAAGAAACATTTCTTCATCTTCAGAAGCCATTAAATTCCTTCCCCAGACACAACTGCTGGGAATCAAAAAAGACTACAATTCTGCATGTTCTCACTTACTCAAGTAATCACCCTGAAGGAGGCAAAACTAACTCTTAGTTATTTGCTTAGAAAGGCGCCGAGATTCACCACATTTTATCATGAGAGTAACTTTCCTGTGAATTCCTCAGTCAATTTGCTTATCGACGTTTGTTTAAAAATTGTGCACATTAAGGGGCGATTTCTGCACTCATTCAAAGGACCGAGTAAAGTGTTTAATCACTTTTGTTAGAGGATTAATTTATAGGGCTGGTTTACACTTTTTTTGTGTGTGATTACACACAGCTTTGGAGAGGCTTTGAAACATGTGCAGACTTGACCTGTGGTGGTCCAGCACCAGCAACCACAGCCAGTGTCATGGTCATCTTCCATTTGTCATTTCATCAGAGGACAGGAGACTTCAAAAGGGACAAGTGCTGTTTGGTTCACACAGACTATATAATCTGTCATGGTTCGAGTGATTTATAGTGTGAAGAGCACATCACTGACATTAAAGAGCATAATAACAGTTCATGCCCAAACCCAGCGAAGCAATTGCAGGAACCAGGTGAGTTCTCAGCTGGCTTACTCTTCTCTATTCATACTCCCTGCAGACAGCTCTCTGAATTCCAGGTGATTTATCATACAGCCAGAAAAGTATACTGAACCAGACACCAGCTCAGGATCCTTCTGTTTCCATTTTTCTGCAGGGAAAACCTCAGCCTATGACCATGGAGGTCTATCCTCCATGAAGAGCAGCAGCATCAGGTCCTCCAGACCCATGCCATGAGGGCTGACACCTTCCAGTGCAGCATCTCCCATGGCTGCAGAGGGCTCCAGCTGTCCCTGTCAGAGCGTACAGCAATATCGTGCTGAGTTTTCCAAGCTTTTCCATTACTCCAAAGGGCAACTATCATTGTGCATTGACAAGTACAAGATACTGTTACCTCTATTCAGGCTGTTTACCTAACAGTTTTATTTTCCTCTGTTCCCTTCAGTATCTTTCTCGAGAAATAAAAAGCTGATGATCCTCCACTCTAAATCAATTTCAAGGACAGCAGGTCAAGGAAAAATGGACTTGCAGCATGCAAAACAGCTAGGATGAAAGGATAATCTGCTTTCCTTGCCTGAGATGACAGAGACAAGAAAAAAAGACCTTCAGCTATTCTGATGATGGTTGAGGGTACACATGAGGTAAAACTTCCTAATGGGAAAGGTAGTGAAGAACAGATTGCTTGAGGAGGCTGTGATCACCTCACCACTGGAAGGCTTTTAAAAAAGGTAGATAAAGTTAAGGATGTATTTGACCCTGCCATGGAGAAGAGGAAGAGCCAGATAGCTTCCTGGGGACCTTCTAATGTGATCCTACAATCCTGTAGACTTACTATGAAGAAACTGCAAACCTGGGTCACTTTCCCTAGACACTGTCCTTATCTAGTCTATTCTTACACTCTCAAAAGTTTTGTCCTGCTATAGATGCTTTGGATCTAGAGGTCCTCCATAATTTAGTGGATGTTTAGGGTTTGCCCTTCTGCTAATGAAGACATTGGGTCCAATTCTGGAGTGACAGTCTGTCAGTGAAGCTACAGCAACTTAGAGTGGCTGAGGTCCTGTCTTTTGGTTTGTTTGAGAAACGATCGGTGTTCATGCTTCAGATCCCATGTTTCATTTGGGTTCACCTCTTGTACAGCACCAGCATGCATATGAGAGCTACTTTCCGTTTAGCTCTTCTATGCATGTACAATCTGTGAAGACCACGTTATTTTATCTTGTATTTTGCAGCAATCTTACACATCCAGCAAGACCAGCATTTTGCCAAGAATATATTGTAGAGGAACCATCTGCCACACAGACCCTGGGTTTCAAACCTTAAGAGCTTTTTCTAAGTAACCAGCAGTAAGTACCCCATTCCACCTCCCTCCAGAAACCCGCCAGTCCCTACCTTTTCCTTGTTTCATTGGATTTGGCAGTTTTGATGGTGCTCCCATCCTGAGTGATTTCTCTTTCCTGGGAGGCAGGAGCATCTCTAACTGGAAGTGGAAGTACAACAGTCTCCTGAGTTACAGGTAAAACCTCATCTTCAGCTCCCTGCTGACCTAAGTGTTGCTTGGCATAGTCAAAGCCTTGTACCGGCTGAAAAAAAAGGGAGAGAAAAAAGAAGTTTCGAGCATGCGTCATATGTTAATATAAAATTTCCATTTCAAGATAAAATTTTCCACTATCCCTTACCTCCTTTAATTACATAAGTGACAAGTAAAAATACATAAATTGCCATACGAATGCCCAACAAGGCAATTTTATGATGACATCTTCATTCCACATAGTTTAAACATGATTAGTTAGTATAAAATTGATCTTGGCTAACCTTTCTTACCCTGTTGTAACACCCCCAGAAATTCCTTTAACAGACAATGGAAGAATGAACATACAGAAGGAAAAATTAGGAGGGAGAAAAATAAGCCCATATAGAAACTGGAAAACTTTCTCTATGAGAAAAATTCTGCCTTTCCAAAGAGGGTGGGAGTAATTTATTCCAAATCAAGACAAAGTAAAAAAGGCACAGGTAAAAGTTTCAGGGACCATATTTTCCAGAAAAGGATCTTTTTCAGATCAGTAAAATTATATTTCTCTTGGCCCGCCAGTTGCCTACTGGGAAGGTTGCTGATGACTTCACTTGTTTGTCCTGGGAAATGGCATTTGCAAAAGCCTTGCAGGAGGGCAGGCAAGGACCATGTGCCCAGCCTCTCCTGCCCCAACACCCCACTGGTTTTCCCTGCTGCCTCTGCAAGGAAGGAGTAGAACTATCACATGCCTTCTGGGCAAAGCAGCCACCCAAAGGTGGATTCTCTTCGTGGAAAAATTAAAGCATTTAAGCAAAACTTAACTTTCCAACCTGCATTTTTTATTGGGGAAAAAAACAAAACAAACTACACCATGCACAACAACAACAAAAAAATTGCTACTTTAAATTGAATTAATTTACCAAAAACTGGAAAGATGCTCTTCATGAAGTACAAAGACTATTGACAGAATGCTAAAAAAGCACCATAAAACTTCAAATGTGAGCAATGCTGATTTTAACCCTCAAACGTTCTTTGGGAAACACATCAGAATTAATAACTGAATTAATCAAATTAATAACTGAATAGTCTCGCTCAGGTTCCTGTCATGTTGTCACAGAATATTTTAGTTCCAGAAGAAAATCAGCTAGATAAAAAAATTTGCTGATGGCACAGAAAAAGGATGAGCTCTGAAAAAAACATTTTCTTTTGTTCTGTCCCTTTCTAAATCTGGGCTACAGCTATAAATATAGATAAATTTCATAGGTGATCTCACTCTGAAAGAAAAAAAGAAGGGGGCTGTGTTCTATTTTTTTTAAAAAAACTGAAAACAAAACATGCTTTCTCTTTATGACGATCTGCATCACATTCCCAATCTCCTGTTTGAGCTGAGGCTGACGATTTCTAATGTGTTCGCATACTTCAGCATTCCTCTGATAAGTAGCTCCAGTGCATTACGGAGACACTAACAGGGCTAATGCTGATTGGGGAGAGCAGATGTCTCTGCATATTACCACGATGGAAGTTGCAACATATCAGAGAAATGCCAATTCACCATCACCACCCCATGGCAACTCATGACGACATTGCCCCTGATGAAGCTTTCTGCTTGCCCTCCTCCTAAGGCAGGGTACCACAAAAGCAGCCACCAAGTTAGCTACAAAGGGAGGAAATGAAGAAAGGGAAGAAGCAGCTGTGTGAAGGACAGCTAGGAAGATCTACTTCACACCATCCTAGACAGTAATATTTTTAATCAAAATAATATTTTCCAACCTTATTATCTATATTAACTGTTAATCAAGACCATCCTAGTTATTTCTGAGAAACAGGTAACAAAAGAGAATAGCTAATTAAATTGGTTATTTCTCCCTCCGTGCCCCTGAAAGAGTAAAAGTAGTAACTACTTATGCTTCGTACCTTAGTTAGAAATAAAAAAATTAAAAAAAAATGAACAAAACCAAACCAGACCAGAACCAACAGAACATGAGAATTTCTACAGAGCTCTGCAGAGTCCCAGCTTGGATCTGCCAAAGGAAGAAAACGAAGGATTATTTTAATCTGAGTTCTACTTACCACCATGTCTAGTAACAAACTGCATTAAAGGAAGAGCTGAAAAAGCCATCCTCATCAGCAGACATATTGTGTTAAATAAAATTTGATATTGGAACCCTGCTCTGTAAAAGCCCACAGGAGCAGATGGCTTCACCACCCCTGAAGGGAACTGGCAGGACTGAATCACGATCAGGCACTGCTGAAGCACTGCAAGCATAAATGTCCAATACGGCCACAATACTGAGAAAGACCAAAGGACTAGGATTTTAATATTGCTTTCAAAATAATAAATTAATTACGAGACCATTAAATTACATTGCCTGGCAAAGGGCAGATTGAATACAGGGAGTTGTTTCTGGGACTTTTTTTCCTTGCAATGATTATGAAAGAGACACTGATATTAAACAACAAGAACAAAAAAATCACAAAGAAACCCCAAACAAACAAAAAAAACAAACACCACAAAAACCAAAACAACAAACCAAAAGTAAAGAAAAAAAAAAGAAAAAGGGATGATCAGCCCCTCCCCTCTACATATATATCCATGTGCACAGAGACAGTTTCTCTGATCTTTTTTTTTTTCATGCCCTTTATCAAATTGATAGCAGTTGTTTTCTCACGGCCTGCGGTATTTGCTTTTGCTTGTGGGTCTTAGACTGCAGATCTTATCTCTGTTTACCTGCAAGCTTATTCTTTCATGCTTTAAAAGAAAGGAAAGGTGACAAATCAGATTACAGCCTTTAAAAAAGCGTGCTGTGAATTAGAAAGCAAAGGAGGTAAAAGCTAACATCTATCTCAAACCTCAAAGTAAAACAGTATCTCAAAACAAAAACAGCATTGAAAGAACATGAAAATGAATTACAATCAGAACTTCACCAATTTGAATTTATACCGCTTTTAGTTTTACAACTGGAGAGTCAGTTGAAAAAAAAAATGGTAACAGTCCCTTTTCCCTGCAACTTAGTCCAGACGTCCCTGACCGCTAAGGCAATTCAGAACCACAGCACGATTCCTAAGAAAGCAACTATAAACTACACTATGTATGAGAGGTCATTTTTTATACTTCATTCATGTAGCCTCCAGTCTGTTACCACAAAAAAGTCATTCCTTAATTACCAGGCACAGACAGCAATCCTGCTGTTACGTTACACCACCTCCCCCAGCTCCAGAAGGCTATTTAAGGCTAAATGTTTCATTGCGTTACCCCTCCGTGCCACGTTCGTGCATCCCATCCCACTGGCACGGGACGGAGGTTCTGAAGGAATGTGGCAACAGCTCTGCTCCGCGAGGACCTGCAGCCTCCCTCTGCTCCCGGCAGCGACAGGACTGCGGCGATGAACAGGCAGCTCTGCTCTGCCCGTCCCCTCCGTACAGGACTTTTGAAATCCAGCCACATAAAACAGCACCACTGAAAACACAACCAGCCGAAATCCAAGGTTGTGGGTATCCCATAGTATGCTCTTTTCCTCTCTATACTGCTTGCAGGGTATTCAAAAGGTATCAAAAACTTGCTCCAGCATTTCTCAGGCACACTAAACAAAATATTAAAGCTGCTGCTTAAATTAAAGCCACTCTGCTGTGACTCCACTTGCAGAACAGACTCAGCATTAATCAAGCAGTTTCGGGCACTTTTCCAAGCCATGAAATATAACATATTCATTTTAAGTATGATATAGATATGTGCTCATCAGCTATTTGTATTGTCAGACTGCATGAAATATAGCTACTACAGTTCAAGTAATTATCACTATTCCTGATATCTTTAATGCTGGAATTAAAAATAAAACTCTTCTTTTCAAAATTACCTTATTTCATTATCTTTCCAAAATATGTTTCTTAGCCTTATTTTAAGTAAAGATGTTGAAATCAGGAATGACAAAAATAGTCCAATTCCAATCCCACTGCAGAATTTATCTTCCATGGTCCATACACCAGCATATACCCTCAACTAGACCTGGCTGAACTTTTTTGATGGAGTCATCATTGTGAAACTAAGCAGAAATCAATTTAGCTTCCATTTTGAAATGCATCACTTTTTATATAGTCAATTAAATTAAATTTTATGGAGTCTCAAAATATACCCAAAAAGGGGAAATGCACTCTAGAAGTGCACTACTGCACTCCCGTTGCAAATGTGAGCGAGTCTGCAGGAAAATCTCCTGAAACAAGTGCAATGTGGATGCTGGGAGCTCAGCAGTGATTGCTTTGTCCTGCAGATCCAACTCTGTCTGACCACTTTGGCTGCTGATACAAACATAACCTGACAGAATAGGTTTTAACATGACCATGTATCTTACAGCCTGATTAAATCTGATTTCTCCAGAAAAGTAAAAGTTCAACTTTCTCTTTCTTTTTGCACAGACAACTATGGAAAATTAAAATACATTCAAGGGTTTATTTTTTCTGTGTTGTAGCTTCAGCCAGCAGTCTTCTTTTTCTAAATAGTAACTTTCTTCAACTATAAAGCATCCTATAATGATGGCCAGCTCAAAACAACGTACAAACTAAGCCTAATTTTGTCTTTTAGCTGGGACTAAGATTGCATATAAGAAGAATCAAGTGGTGCTCAGTATTTGCAACAGCCCCTAATAAAGCATGATTTACATTTTAGAGGTTTTGACAGGACATTATATGACAATGGGATGTTATATGATATCATGATTATATGAAATATGGTATCAGTGGTATTAATTTTTGTTTCTGCTTGTGATATTGCTTGTTTCACTTTTGCAGATCTAGTCTTAATGCCAGTTTGATAACACTGGAGAAATAGATGAGCGTAGAGGAACTGAAATGGCAATGTCTTTTTGGTATCATTTTTGATACAAATGTCTTTTTGCAACTGGCACCAGCTGCACCCATCTGCAACTAACCTAAGATGAGGAGAAAAGAGCTGTCATATGCATCATCCCTTCCTTCAACTCTCCCTCCAATCTACATTTTTCATCAGAAGCAACAGAACTGAAATCACAATAACCCAGCTGTCTGCAGCATTAAGGAACAGAAGAAAAAATTTATCATTTTGATCCTGTGCCAAGGGTAAACAACAAAGCCAGCTCAAAGGGTGAAGGAGCAGTATGACTTACACACGCACTTTGTAGGCTAAAAACTCCTAACTTTGGGTGGCCCTGTTCAAGAGTCACTTAATAGCAGCATTGAGAAGGCAGACTTTTTCCACTACAGAGACAAATCAGTATTCTGTGACATTTTTCTGTAAGGGACAGAAGATGAAACTGGAAATGCATTTCATTTGGAATAAAGTCCAGTAATTGATATGGGTAAGTTTAAGGAAAATGTAATTGATTGAACCCAATCAACAGTATCCATAAATAAAATAATATTATTTAAATAATTATTATTTATCCATAAATAAAATTCAAAACATCTAAAAGAAAAATAGCAGTGGGAGAAATTTTCTAGAAAACAAACAAACAAAAAAAAAATAATCAAAGAACGTCTTTTCTGGATTAGCAGTCGGGTGGAGAAATTCTGCTCAGGACCAGGTCTGAACAGCTGTCAAAGCCCAGAGCTTCAGTCATTGCCACTCACAGCAGGTAGGAGCAGCCCAGGCCATGTGTTTGAGAACAAGGCCCTACAGATGTGCTGCTCACGAGGCCAAGGCATGATATCCCATTTCTTCAACTCTATGAAGAAAGCAACTGCCCTGAGTAAAGCCTACTCAGCCCCAACTGCTCAGTGTCACTGGGCTGAGCTGCGAAGGAAGTTGACGAGTCCTGAGTAAAACAGAAGGGTAGTTGCTACGACCGGCAGTATAGAGGACAGAGAAGTACAAAGACCCAACCTGTGAGTAACGACTGTTTCAATTCCAAACATTCTTCAACTACATCTAGTAGAGAAACACAGTTAAAACCTCAGAAAGCAAACGGATGTCTTGGTTCTGGAGATCAGTCACTCACTTTAGCTCTCTGTGGCAGGTTCATCATGGTGTCTGGTTTGAAGTCATTCTTGTTCTTTCTGCACAGGACTGCTGTGATGATGATGATGATAACTGTAACCACAGCAATGGGAGCCAGCACCGCTGCAATGATCCACAGGTTGTTCGGGGGGTTCTTCACCACAGCTACAGGAAATTGCAAACTAATGTTGGTTAAGGTTCTCTGTGGAAGTGCAAGATTGAAATTGCCTCCAAAAGAGTTTTCAACTGTCTCCATAAAATAACTAGTATAAAAGGACTGTCAGTAATCCAGCTATACCTTTGGATTCTTTAAGTTTAAAAAAAAAAAAAAAAAGAAAAAAGAATCAGCAACACTGTTCCATTCACAAATCCCTGGGCTCTTTTCTCTTACTTAGTTACAGCCAGCTGCAAAAGCAGCCATCAACTCCCAAGTCAAATTAGATGCCATGTTAGATATCACTCAGATTGTTCATTTACAGAATAAACAAAAAAAATGAAAGCAATACATCCTTAATAATTTTTCAAACACAAAACCAGCTTATAGTAAGGTAGCATGTGTGTTAAAGATATACACACAGAATCCACACCTAGATTCAAAGACTTACTGGCTCAGCAAGAGTAAACCAGGAGAGTTTTAACCAGGAGAGTTTTTTTTCAAAATCAATGAAGCTAAGTATGCTGATAGTTATTATTGTTATCAATACGGCAATAAGAAAATGCTTCTCAGGTACTCTAGAAATATTTTACCATAGTTAAGGTCAAAACAAATCCCTCATTTCTGAAGGAGGGGAAATGATGAGGTTGGAAAGACCTACTTGCAGATATATTAATTATGGCACCGGGAAAAGGGTACATTTCAGAAATGCAGTGATATTAAAATGTTTCAGATTCCATTATAAAATCTCTTAGTATGAATCTTCAACTTGTACACACATAAGAGATTGTCCTGTGAAACACCCTTGGTTCTCTCATTTCATTTCTTTCTGGAAAAGCACCAGGTAGTCTCCTTATGACACTGAATTTTGTTTTAGTGAAACATTTTGTGGACTCCACCACACTCTCTCTATTTATTTTCCCATGCCACTGGTTGCTGGTGTGGACAGGCAATTGTGAGAATACTGGTGTAAAGCAGCCTTTCCCATTTCCTTGAGGACTAGCGCTTTCAAATGTCATTGAGCTTATTAGCTGTCAGAGCCACTCAGCATCTTTCAGGATCAGCCTTCAAATGCATACCATCTTGTTCAGCAGCGATTACAAAAGTCAGCTAAAAGTCTGTCTGAAGTTTGAGCCTATTCTCTTTGTAGATCTACAACTTCTTGCAAAGCCAATGTAGTTTGTTGGGTGATGCAGGAATAACACCCTTGGGTACATATCTTGTGCACAGTGTAACAGCAACCACATGCTTAAAGACTGTCCAAAAAGCCAGGTTGGAGTCTTTCAAGGTTCACTTTTCAATGTACTTGCATAATTCTAAACTACTGACTTCGAACATTTAGTTTGGAGGTGAAAGGGCTGTGGGGAAGGAAGTTCAATCTGAATTTTATCAGATAACAGTAATTATAATTAGATTGCTGTTCTGAGAGCAGCAAACCATTGTTGAAAAGTTGTAATTATTCTTTCTAGGGAACATAGAGGAAACAATGACCTAATGGCTAATAGGACAGACATTTACGAATCCTAGTTCACACCTCTAATTCAGTTACCAGCTTCCTATGTGACATTGAGTAAGTCATGGTTCATTCAACTCAATAAGACTTCAGTGGATTTTGAAGCAAGCCTTTCATTTTGCTATAACTCAGTCCCTCACTTATAAAACAGGAACATTCATATTTTTTGTGGTTATTCATCTGTCTTGTCTAACCAGAGTGTGAGCTCCTGAGGGTAGGTATCTTTTCTTTCTGCATTTTGGGATAGAACTTTTCATTCTGCTATAACAGAAATTATAATGAGTAAAAGTGAAGTGCACAATGTAATTGTTTGAACCCAATCAACAATATAGAAAACTATTTTCTTTGGAAATACAAAGACGGACTACAAATACTATGCACAAAGTGAAATAATTTTTTTTTTTCTGTACTAAAGTATAAAGATAGTTCTATCTCCTACATTTCAAATACTCTAGCTTCAGAATTTCAGTTACCTGGGGGTCATAATTTCAATTTCTGTATATTCTCATCTTACAGTATTCTGTGCACATTTAACTTGTATGAAAATCTATAGATGAACAAGGCTGCTTGACCCAGATCACAGAAGTACAAGGTTAGATCATGAGTAGCAGATGTCATATAATTACCTAAATACCCATATAAATCACAAAACCGCACAAAGAGCTAGGAAGCTGCTACGTATTATGTACAGCTGCTTTAGTAAAAATTACATTAAAGGAATATTCTCATGGAAAACAAAGTC